AAAGGACTCCCTCCAAAGTCTTTTCAGAAACATACTAATAGTATGGGTCTTGAGGATAGTTTCCAGTAAATTTCCGTTGTATGTTTTGACTATAATTGAAATTTTCTTTTGCCATAGAGCTCATAAATGGAACTATACATCTTGTCTATTCTGTTCTCCATTGTGTACACATATTGTTATGGATGTATGATACAGAATTCGTCTTTTCAAAGACATCATGAGACCATTATGAAAACTCTTAATAACGGTCTGGTTGTGATAGTTGTTGATGTCGTGGTACATGGAAGGAATTAAGGTTGTTAACTTATGACCGCCATGACTCTCATTACCAACTAGATCAATTAAGACACTTATGATAACCAACTAAAAATAACAAACTTAACAACTTATGCGCGCCTTATGATTTCCTATAAGCAACAACACGGGTATTCATAACGATCAAGTGGGAGACTGTAAGATAACTTTTAGTGCAAGAGAGTTATCTCATCCTTAATATGATCTATTATGAAACCCGTGAGTTAAAAAAGGAATAGGAGTGTTACATTTGATTCAATTGGTTATAAATACAAGGAGTTATCAAAGATTAATAACTCCAAAGAGTTATGTTCCTATTGTAACTCTTCCATGATGGATGGTTGAGATGAAGTGTTAAGATAAAACTTAATAGGAATTTTGGTCCTCTCTCCACCTATAAAATGTATGCTTTGAACCATCACAAGAGCATATCATAAGAAACACATATATCAAGTGACTTATAGGCTAGGAGAGAGAATCCCAAAATTCAACATTGCTACTTCTTCATAAGCTCTCTCTCAATCACCATGGAAGGAGGTATTCTTCTAATCTCTTTTCTATTTCATGTGATTATCATGTTATTCTATCGATCTTAGGGTTTCATGTAAATTCAAGGTTTACATCCTCCCCAGCTACATCATCCTTAGCGTCGCCATCATCTTCCTCATTGTTAACCTCCCTCATTGTGCCAACAACCTCCTTGTTATCATCGTCCTCCGAGTCGTCATCAGTAGAGTCCTCCGGGTCATCATAATCAGAGCCAGCTTCCTCCCTATCTCCATCATCCCCAGAACCGCCACCATGATAGAAACCTATTTCTTAGGGTTCAGTTATTAATTATGGTAGGATAATTATTATTAGGGTTAGTAGTCTTTTAGTCGTATTAGGGTTACTATTAGGTTTTTCTATCTTTCCCTATAAATATGTACTTGGGTATTCAGTTATAATCAATCAAGAAAGAATTACCAAAGTATCACTCTCAACCCTAATCTCTCCTAATCCTCTCAAATTCTCTTCTCAACCTATTCTGGCCGCCGGCCATTCTGTTCTTGTTCTTCCCCAATTCTACTCCTGATCCCCAAATTCTCTTCTAAATCCCTAAATCTCCATCAATTCCCAAATTCCCAATCCTATCGATAGAACCCTAGAAATAGGTTTCTATCATCTGGTATCAGAGCCTCGTTCCGAGATCGAGTTCGTCACAACTCTGAACTAGGGACAATTACACCATAATGAGCTCGTCAAAACTCTTCGATACAGAGTGGTACCGGCTACAAGCGTTGCTGGAGCAGACCTTGGAACGCCGTAATCAAGAGGCATGGATGAGGGTGGCGAAGCGGGAGGAGGCAGCTAAGAAGTTGCTGCCGCAAGGCCTGGCAATCGCTGCCACTTCCACACCAGTAACCACTATCAATGGGGCGCCATTATCCTCACCAACGACAGCTGCCAGTTCGTGTACCGCCCCGCCATCGAGGAAAGAAGGATCACCGCCGCGGCTGCTGCGCGCGGATGATTGTAACGCGACCACTACAGTGGCTACTGTAGCTGTGGTAATCCAAGAGCTGCCGACCTCTACAAGAGCAGCCAACATACCTCCTCCAGCTGCTGTTGAAGAAGAAAGTCGGGCTGCAGCGATCCCAGGCGAACAAAAGCTGCCCCCGTCGACGACTACAACACTTGCTTGCCTCATCGCACCTGCGACATCGATTACCATTTTTGGGGCTTCAAAGATCCCAATCTCCTTGGTCGAGACGAAAGAGTCATGCGGGAAGATGAATGAATTGGATCTGGAATGAGACGAGACATTAAAGGTGAACTTCATAGAGTCCCAACCTTTACTTAGTGATTTTATGGGGAAGAATGTAGGAATCAATTGGAAGTTTCGCAAGAAGAAGCACGGGACCAATAAAGAGGAATCGAAGACCGTCGTCTCTCCTAGGACCTCGATCGTGAAATCGTTGGCCATGCCGACGATCGCATATCAGGAAGGAGCAACCTCCATCAGGTCCCAAGCCATCATCACCACCGAGAAACCCGTCGGCATCGCCGCCGGGTCCAGCAAGGCAGAGTCGACCCCGCCTGCCCCTACGAATGCAGAAACGCGGGCGAATAGGAGCCCTGAGGTTCACTCGTCGTGGACCGAGCTCCGCCTCGACGGCGAGCAACGACGCAAGATGGGGACGACGAACCGCCGAGAGGAATCGCCATGGTTGGGAATCCGGCGAGGAGTGCGACGGCAACCTGGTCGTCGGGTTGATTGCTTGCCGCTGGAAAGAGAAAAAGCGACGGGCCGAAAGACAAAGTTGGAGACGAGAAAGGAATTGTGTTCCTTGCCGATGGAGGAGAGTCCTCTAGAGCTAAGATCTACGGCCACTCCGTTCGTGATGACCCTGGACTGGAGGCCGCAAGCTGCGCTATGGGCGACATCGAAGGGGAGAACCAAGTCGGCGACGTGCATGGCTATGCCAGGCTTGGCTTCCGATCGGATGTGGGTTCACCTTTGGTCGGTGGAGGAAATGAGGACGAGGAGCGGCGGCGGATGCCACCCTCTCGCAAATCTAGTGCGCTCAACCCAGGAGCACTCGGTAGTGGGTCGAGTTGCTTGGGCCAATTGGGCCAATCTAAAGCTTGGGTTGGAGTTGGGACGTTCGGGGCCGGGTGTTGAAGCGTACGGGTGGAGATTATTGCACGCTTGGGTGGTGGATATTGATCCACTACTATTGTTGTGCGAGGCCAGGCTTAAGGAAGGTTCAGGTGGGCAAGTTGTGCAGGAGAAGGAACCGAGGGAGCAGGGGAGTGGGGAATGGATGCTTGGGTATGTTTCGGGTAGTTGTAAAGGATCACAAGAAGTGAAAGCATGGGTCCAGGAGATGCTCAATAATTGGATACCAGCCTACGACGCATATTACAGTGAGGAAATGTGGAAGGGTCATTCCATGCAAAAGGGTGGGATTGTCGTGGATCTTGCACATTCTTATTATGTGGAATTTGAAAGGGCAGATGCCGGCTTGGGTGACCATGGGTATCATGGGTTGAGTCACGAGGGTGGAAAAGAATCGATGGAGGCCATAAATGCTTGTGCTAGAAGTCTTGTGAGAGTACACGACCGTGATTGGAAGAAAAGGAAGCGCAACAGATGGTAGAGCCAAGGTGCGGTTTGCACGAACGCCGTGAAGAAGTGGATCAAGTTGGTCAACCTTGAGGGCAATGTTGGTCTCAAGAGGGAGGGGATGATAGAAACCTATTTCTTAGGGTTCAGTTATTAATTATGGTAGGATAATTATTATTAGGGTTAGTAGTCTTTTAGTCGTATTAGGGTTACTATTAGGTTTTTCTATCTTTCCCTATAAATATGTACTTGGGTATTCAGTTATAATCAATCAAGAAAGAATTACCAAAGTATCACTCTCAACCCTAATCTCTCCTAATCCTCTCAAATTCTCTTCTCAACCTATTCTGGCCGCCGGCCATTCTGTTCTTGTTCTTCCCCAATTCTACTCCTGATCCCCAAATTCTCTTCTAAATCCCTAAATCTCCATCAATTCCCAAATTCCCAATCCTATCGATAGAACCCTAGAAATAGGTTTCTATCACACCATCATCCTCGTGACCATCATCGGAGTCCTCTGAGCCAACATCATTCTCCTCGTCGTTGCTGTTATCAATGTCTGAGTCTATGTCATGCATGATGCGCCAGGTATTCACAACAGTTTCGTTATGGTTGCCTTCATTGTGCTGCTGCTGCATCTTGACGTGAAATGCTACCAAGTCTAGCATCAAGCGAGCTGCCTCCCAGTTTTGTGGTGTGGCCAACCATAGTCCGTATCGATTAGCATCCAACTTTAAAGACATATAATCACCATCATCTCGTCTGGTCATCAGAGATATTGGCGGTACCAGCCCTTCATCATCTATATGTGGATTAACTCTCTCCCATACAATTTGAATGAACTCTTCATAGCTAGAATCCATTAATTCTTCTCGCAGTATGGTGGATTGTACGTGTTTCTCCTCTACTTCTATCACGAAGGTGCGATGCTCAATGACCGGGAATGAGCATATCACAACAACTACGGGGTTGATATTGTCCATTACTTGAATCTGAAACGCAACAACCAACGGAAACATTTAATATTCACAAAGGATCCCCCGCTCAGTGCTACTCAGTACTAAATACCATGTTTTCTCCCTCAAACAGTGAATATCTTAATTCGCATTTAGAGAAACAGCAAGTGAAAATATGGAAGAATCCACATCTCATCAATTAAATTCTCTAATGGAATAAATAATTCATTACATGGCCACTTGTTGAAATAATATCAAAATCATTCATTCCACTAGTTTTGAGCCCACAAATTCATTGAGCACAATTCAATTCCTTTGCAAGCGAAGGTACCCACAAAACAAAAACAAACGCAAAGCAATGCTTAACCGATGCATCAACACCCAAAACACTAGAACAACACTAGATTTTTTATGGGCGGCAACTGAAGCAGGCAGACCAAAAAAATTAGCTCTATTCTACATGATATTCCCGTGAACTTCTCAAACCTCAGAATTGTGCCACAAAAAGAAAGCTTCAGAATCCAATAAAAAAATCCCATAACAGAGGAATCAAGCAGCGTACTTAGCCATGGGACGGAGTTCTGCATGTTGGCCCGGCTACATGTGGTGGAGCAAGAGCCAGCAATTTGGTAATTATAAAAAAAAAAACAAATATTAAAGCACCCAAAAATGCAGTTGGGGAGGTGAGTAGCAGATGGGAGCAATTCCCTTCCCCTCTTCCCTGGCTATAAAATGCAGAGGCATTTGCCTCATTTCAATCATCCATCACCATTCCATTCCAACCATTTCCTTTCCTTTGCTCTGCTTCTGTTCGTATTTCTTTTGTGGGTTTTGGTAGTGAAACGTTTTCACTACCACGGGTAGATAGGAGATTTCCTTGTGAGTGAAATAGTGAGGTTGTTTGGGAAACACCGTGTGTTCTATTTCTTGTATCGAGAAAATCTCTGTAACCTACCATTATTATAGTAAAGAAATACTCCGGAGCTGCTGTTCCCGTGGACTGGCCCAAAATCAGGGTATACCACGTAAATCCTCGGTGTCATTTATTATTATCTATGCTTGTTGTTATTTTGAGAATAGTCGTAGTATATTGCATTATTAAATTACCGAAGTAAATTGATCTAAGTAAGTTGGTTACCGTAATTCTGGAGGCTCTGCCACCAGGTCCAACTTATTTGTGAACTTTTTACAAGCGTGTGATTTTTTAGTGCAATATATTTACCCGCTATTCTCACCCGCTGCGCCCAACAAGTGGTATCAGAGCCACGTCCAATGGAGGCAAAAACAAGCAAGATGATAAGTCTGAATGGCTCCAACTATCACATATGGAGAATTAAGATGAAGGATCTCCTACTCGTGACGGAGTTGCATTTGCCGGTGTTTAGTCCAACTAAACCTGATGGCAAAACTGAAGAGGAATGGGAGTTCAAGCATGAGCAAGTATGTGGCTACATTCGACAGTTCGTCGACGATAATGCATACAACCACATTAGCGGAGAAACTCATGCCAGAACTCTGTGGAACAAGCTGGAGGCACTCTATGCATCAAAGACCGGCAACAACAAATTATTTTATCTGACCAAGTTGGTCCAGATGAAATACAAGGAAGGCAAATCCTTGGCGGATCACTTGAACGAAATTCAAGGGATCGTGGATCAGTTGTCCGGTATGGGCATAAAGATGGAAGATGAGGTGGTCGCTCTCCTCGTTCTGGCTTCCCTTCCAGAATCTTGGGAGACGCTAAAAATTTCACTTACCAACTCTGCAAAAGATGGAGTTATCAACATGGAGATCGTAAAAAGTGGGGTTCTAAATGAAGAGATGCGGAAAAGATCACAAGGTGCATCCTCATCATCTTCCCAGTCAGACCTTTGGCGGTGGATTTCAGAAGCAGAGGAAGAAGTGAAGCGAGAGGCTCGAAGCAAAGAGGCAAGAGTCGAGGGAAGTCCAACAAGTTTGCCAATATCAATTGTCATCACTGCAAGGAAAAGGGCCACATCAGAAGATTTTGCCCAAAGTTCAAAAACGAGAGAAGGAAGGGCAAACGAGATGAGAACAGTGATGATGATGGTGCAAACTCTGTTGATGAGTTCAATATTGTCTACGAGGAAGATGTTGTCAACCTGACAACACAGGAGACAAGCTGGGTGGTTGATAGTGGTGCTACCATCCACGTGACGTCCAAGAGAGAATTTTTCTCATCTTACACACCAGGTGACTTTGGTGTGGTAAGGATGGGAAATGGCAACCTTTCCAAAGTTATTGGAAAAGGAGAAGTATGCTTGGAGACGATGAATGGTACAAAGCTACTACTGAAGGATGTCAGGCATGTTCCAGAAATGCGCCTGAATCTCATCTCTGTAGACAAGTTGGATGAGGAAGGTTACTGTAACACCTTTCACAATGGCCAGTGGAAACTCACCAGAGGCTCCTTGGTGTTGGCCAAGGGCAAGAAGCTGTCAAAGCTGTATGTGACGGAAGCCAAGATCTCCCCAGAGATTGTCAACTCAGCGGAGAATGGTGACACAATTGAATTGTGGCACAAACGACTCGGTCACATGAGTGAGAAGTCCATGGCAAAGTTGGCCCAGAAGAAAGTCATAGTTGGGTTGGATCATGTTCATCTAAAGAAGTGTGTCGATTGCCTTGCAGGAAAGCAAAATCGAGTTGCTTTCAAAAGTTCCATCCCTTCAAGAGCAAAGAACGTGTTGGATCTAGTTCACTCAGATCTCTGTGAACCCGATGTCAACGTCAAATCACTTGGAGGTGCCAGATATTTCGTGACATTCATTGATGACCATTCACGGAAGACTTGGGTGTATACCTTGAAGACCAAGGATCAGGCCCTAGATGTTTTCAAACAATTCCTGGCCCTGGTGGAGAGGGAAACTGGCAAGAAGCTGAAGTGCATCCGAACTGACAATGGTGGAGAGTACAGAGGTCCGTTTGCTACCTTCTGCAAGGAACATGGAATTCGGCAGCAATTTACACCACCAAAGACGCCGCAATTGAATGGGCTAGCTGAGAGGATGAACAGGACCCTGCTAGAGAGAGTCAGGTGCTTGTTATCACACTCGAAGCTACCACAATCTTTCTGGGGGGAGGCACTGCTTGCAGCAGTTTACGTGTGGAATAGGTCACCCAGTGTGCCACTGAAGTATGAAGCCCCAGAGAAGGTGTGGAGAGGAAAAGAAGTTTCCTACAAACATTTGCGAGTGTTTGGTTGCAAGACCTTTGTCCATATTCCAAAGGATGAAAGGTCAAAGCTGGATTCCAAGACGCGACCGTGCGTATTTATTGGCTATGGTCAAGATGAGTTTGGCTATAGATTCTTTGATCCAATCCAGAAGAAGCTTATCAGAAGCCGTGATGCTGTGTTCATCGAGAATGAGACCATCGAAGATGTTGTTGCTAGGAAAGAAGTTCCTAGTACCGATGCTAGCCAGCCAAACCTTGAGCTAGTGCCTCCAACACCAGCGCCTACAGAAGTTGGAGAAGAAGCACAACATGATCAGCCTGAGATAGTTGAACCAGATGCCCATGTGGAGGTTCAACCAGAAGATGCTGATGACGATGGTCAACCACCAGCCATAGAAGGTTCTCCTGTTCGAACAACAAGATCTGGTAGAATTTCACGACCGTCTACCAGATATCCCGAGACTGAATACGTCTCACTTACTGACGGTGGAGAACCAGAAAGCTTCACAGAAGCTATGAATGATGAACACAAGCAAAGGTGGATAGAAGCCATGCAAGACGAGATGGATTCCTTGTATGAGAACAACACATTTGAGCTGGTGAAGTTGCCAAAAGGCAAGAGAGCTTTGAAGAACAAGTGGGTGTTCAAGATCAAACATGATGAACACAACCGTCAACCACGCTTCAAAGCCAGACTAGTCGTGAAAGGCTTCAGTCAAAGGAAAGGCATTGACTTTGACGAGATATTTTCACCTGTGGTGAAAATGACATCCATTCGTACTGTGCTGGGACTAGCAGCAAATCTTAACCTGGAGGTTGAACAAATGGATGTGAAAACTGCTTTCCTTCATGGTGATTTGGAGGAAGAGATTTACATGGAGCAACCAGAAGGCTTCAAGAAGGAGAAAAAGGAGGACTATGTGTGTAGGCTCCGTAAGAGCTTGTATGGCTTGAAACAAGCACCAAGGCAGTGGTATAAGAAGTTTGAGTCTGTTATGGGGGAGCAAGGCTACAAGAAGACTACTTCAGACCACTGCGTGTTCGTGAAGAAATTTCCTGATGGAGATTTCATCATACTTTTGCTCTATGTGGATGATATGTTAATTGCTGGGCAGAACGTCTCAAAGATCAATGATTTGAAGAAGGAGTTGAGCAAGTCTTTTGCCATGAAAGACTTGGGACCAGCAAAGCAGATTCTTGGCGTGAGGATCATTCGGGATCGAGGTGCCAAGAAGATATGGTTGTCACAAGAGAAGTACATTGAGAAAGTACTTCAACGTTTCAACATGGATAATGCTAAGGCGGTTAGCTGTCCTCTTGCTAACCACTTTACATTGACATCCAAACAGAGCCCGTCTACTGAGAAGGAAAAGGCGGAGATGGATAAAATTCCATATGCTTCAGCAGTGGGAAGTCTGATGTACGCCATGGTGTGTACAAGGCCAGATATTGCTCATGCAGTTGGAGTTGTCAGTCGGTTTCTTTCCAAACCAGGAAAGGAACATTGGGAAGCTGTGAAGTGGATCCTCAGATACCTTCGAGGTAGCTCCAAAATGAGTCTATGTTTTGGAGATGGTGAACATGTCCTTGTTGGCTATACAGATGCTGACATGGCAGGTGATGTTGATTCGAGGAGGTCCACTTCTGGGTACCTGATTACCTTATCAGGGGGAGCAATATCGTGGCAGTCAAGGCTACAAAAGTGTGAGTATATAGCAGTAACGGAAGCATGCAAGGAGATGATATGGATGAAGAAGTTCCTAAATGAACTTGGGTTCCTACAGGAACAACCGCAGCTGTTCTGTGACAGTCAAAGTGCTATTCATCTTGCGAAGAATGCATCATTTCATGCTCGATCAAAACATATTGATGTTCGATATCACTGGATACGAGATGTGCTTGAAATGAAGCAGTTACAACTAGAGAAGATCCATACTAACGAAAATGGATCTGACATGTGTACCAAGACTCTTCCAAGAGAAAAGTTTGAGTTCTGTCGATCAGCTGCAGGGATGATGAAGTCGCCCATGTAGTCAGGCGGGGGAGAATTGTTGGCCCGGCTACATGTGGTGGAGCAAGAGCCAGCAATTTGGTAATTATAAAAAAAACAAATATTAAAGCACCCAAAAATGCAGTTGGGGAGGTGAGTAGCAGATGGGAATTCAATTCCCTTCCCCTCTTCCCTGGCTATAAAATGCAGAGGCATTTGCCTCATTTCAATCATCCATCACCATTCCATTCCATCCATTTCCTTTCCTTTGCTCTGCTTCTGTTCGTATTTCTTTTGTGGGTTTTGGTAGTGAAACGTTTTCACTACCACGGGTAGATAGGAGATTTCCTTGTGAGTGAAATAGTGAGGTTGTTTGGGAAACACCGTGTGTTCTATTTCTTGTATCGAGAAAATCTCTGTAACCTACCATTATTATAGTAAAGAAATACTCCGGAGCTGCTGTTCCCGTGGACTGGCCCAAAATCAGGGTATACCACGTAAATCCTCGGTGTCATTTATTATTATCTATGCTTGTTGTTATTTTGAGAATAGTCGTAGTATATTGCATTATTAAATTACCGAAGTAAATTGATCTAAGTAAGTTGGTTACCGTAATTCTGGAGGCTCTGCCACCAGGTCCAACTTATTTGTGAACTTTTTACAAGCGTGTGATTTTTTAGTGCAATATATTTACCCGCTATTCTCACCCGCTGCGCCCAACACTGCAGAGGGGGCGAAGCTCGTTGCCGCTGCGAAAGGAAGGAGGAAGAAAGAGATCTCGACAGATTAGGGTATGGAAAGGAAATCGACCGAAAGGGCTGGCGTCTTTGACTGTACGACCAAACGACCGGAGGATGAACGGGACGGGACGGATAAAGAGAACAGAGGTGCCGGGTGCGAGTCTGAGAAACAAAAAAAATTACTTGCATTTCATTTTTTTTTATGTGATTGTGACTTGGCTGCTAGCGAGTCAACCGTCAAGCGCTCGAGAGTAGCTTAGTTTGAGAGAAACTCATTGGATATTCGACTCATTTGGTTCGTGATTCGACTTCAGTCGAGCACGACTTAGTAGAGTTGTCAAAACAGAACTCGATCCGAATAATTTGATCGATTAACCTCACATGCAATTCGATCGCAATTCGAATTGATTAAAAGTCAGTGATTTGTAACCTGATTGACCTGTGATCATATTAATTCGTAACTCGACTAGCTCGCAACTCGACTGACCCAAATACGATCGATCCAAACTCGACTAACCTGTAATCGTCCCGATTGACCCGAATAATTACTATATTATATATTATATAGTCTTTCAACATGAAGTTTGTTTGTTGTAAGTCTAAGTAAAATTATTTTTTTTATTTTATAATGGAAAGTTCAAAAAATGAAATTGAGTTGAAATTATGTATTTTTAATAATAGAAAGAATGTGAAGTTTTGGTGCTTTTGATTTATGGAAAGAGAAAAACATGAAATTTTTTGTGTTCTCAACTGTTTGGAAATAAAAGAAGAGGAAATTTAGTGTTTAAATTGTTTGGATAAGAGAGAAGCGGGAGTTTTGATGCTTTTGTTTATAGGAAAGAAAGAAGTGTAAAATTTTGGTGTTTTCAACTTTTTGGAGAAAAACGAAGTGGAGAATTTGCGTTTTAAATTTTGGGAAAGAAAGAAGGGAGTATTTTGTTGCTTTTGATTTATAGGAAGAGAAAGATGTGGAAATTTTGGTGTTTTTTATTTATGGAAAAAAATATTGGGGAAATTTTATGTTTTCAATTTTTTTGGAAGAGAAAGAAGAGAGAAAGCTTATTAGATTGTTTACATATGATGGTTTAGGAGTTTAATTAATTATCAATTTGATTATCACAATGTTTACATAGGATAATTTAGGTGTATAACATTTACTAACTAAAATATTGACTACAGCAAACCTTACTATAGTCTTATAGAGCTTGACTTATTTGATATAGTAGATTTGAGAACATGTAATGAGTTACCTATCTCAAATGCATATTATTTTACATTTAGGTGAGAAACTTAATCTCACTTGCTAATTCTTCCACCACATTTTCATTTAGGTGGGAAAATTTCCCCTCATTTTGATTTAATTGATTTTTTTTTGGTTATGGGTGATATATTTTCGTGGATAAAGGAAAAGGAATAACAATCAAAGTTCTGGTACATGAGGGACTTCCCCTCAGTGGAAGAAAAAGGCTGCAAGCAGAAGCATCTTAATGGACAAGGTCCACAGCTGTTAGCAGCAGCCCATATCCGAAGCCCAGAAGAAGGAGTCTTCTGCTACAAAGTCTTCCAGTACAATTGTGATAGGGAATATAGAAGTTCCTTACTGTACACGGAAACTAATTAATACCCTAGGTGATTGTAAAAGCAGGGTATATAAAGGTTGTAAGGCCATTGGCTGTAATGCATTAGTGAAATAAGAATAAACCGGAGAGTTGAGCTCTCCCGTGGACTAGTCCCGATATTCGGGGATACCACGTAAATCCTGTGTCCTTACTATTCCGCAAATCGTTCTCACAAATTTATTATGGTATCAGAGCTGTGATCCATCGTTGAGCAGTTATGTCCGGCGAAGATCCATCCTCCATGAGTACGCCCGAGTCCAAGCTCTCTGGCGGCGGTGATACTGGAGGAGGTCGAGAGATCGACGTTACCAATCCGTTCTTCATCCATCAAAGTGATACCACCGGTCACCTCCATGTTACCAGTCTCTTAACACCGACAAACTATGGTGAAAGGGTACTGGAGATGACGGATGCATTGGTTACAAAAAATAAGGTCGGTTTCGTGGAGGGTTCTATTCCCCGACCAGATAATGGATCAACACAATCTCTTGCCTGGATGCGTTGCGACGCACTCGTAAAGGGATGGTTGCGCACTACGATGGACGCGGAATTGCAGCAGTGTTATGCATGCTAAGACCGCCCAAGAAATCTGGGAAGACTTGCGCGATCGTTTTAGCAAAGGTAATTTGACGCGAGCCTATGAACTACGGCGTCACGTGAGTTTGCTTCAACAGGAGAAGCAATCTGTATCCAACTTTTACACCCAGCTGCGGAAAATCTGGGAAGAAACGCAGTCAATTCTACCGCCACCACTCTGTCCTTGTGGCCGCCGGAGTCGCGATCAAAAAGAAAGTCTAAGGCTGTTAGATTTTTTACTTGGGCTGGACTAGTCATTCGCAACCGTTCGCAGTCAGATCCTGTCCATGGCAGTCATGCCATCGCTTCCAGAAGCCTTTCACGTCATCTTCAACGACGAGCAACAAAAGACCCTCACCCAAAGCCGTAAGCCCACTCCGGAGGCGGCTACCTTTGCAGCACATGAAGAAGCTGGGAAAGCGGCTCATGATTCTCGCGATGGACGTGATGGGCGGGGTCGTTCGACGGGAGAAAGGGAAAGCCGTTTTTGCACCCATTGCAACAAACCTGGGCATCTTAAGGAGAGTTGTTTCGAGATCATTGGTTGGCCATCTCGTGACAAGCAAGGAGAAAAACCAGACCGTCGTCGCAACCGGGAGACTCGTGATTCGGGCAAGGGCCGCGGCCAGAGCCGTGAGCCACGTGCTTCACAGGCTGAATCACATTCGGCCATCACCTCTGGTTTCACTCCACAGCAGTTGAACCAACTGAAACAGTTTTTTGGAACTTTAACTCAAGGTGCTGCCGATCCCTCTAATCACATGGCGGGTACGTTTTCTTTTTCTGCTGAGACTGAATGACTTATTGATTCTGGTTGCAACGAGCATATCGTCATGGATGATTCCCTCCTGTTTTCGTATAATGATAATGTGACTTGTCAACCGGTTTGGATTCCCAATGGGGCAAGCATTCCCGTCAACCGCATAGGGTCGGTCAGACTTGGAGAGGGACTCACGCTTAGTTGCGTTCTCCATGTTCCAGAGTTCAGCTACAATTTACTCTCAGTAAGTCGACTTTGTCAAGAGCATCATGTTGCTTTAATTTTCCTTGGTAATTTATGCGTTATACAGGACTTACACTCGAAGAACGTGATTGGGAAGGGGGATCTTCGTGATGGTTTATATTTCTTGGAGCTGTTCGGTTGTCGGGTGCGCGCCAATGCCGTAGCTAATGGTGATGGGATGCTCTGGCATGCTCGTCTAGGTCACCCTTCTGCTGGTGTTCTGGAGAAACTTAGTTCAGGTATTTCTATTTCAATAAAGTCTGCTATTGATACTTGTCATCCATGTTCGAGAGCCAAGCAAGTTCGAACACCCTTTCCTGTTAGTGGGATTCGAACTACTACTTGTTTTGAGATGTTGCACATGGATATCTGGGGAGGCTATCATACTCCATCTTACAGTGGAGCTCATTATTTTCTTACTATTGTTGATGATTTTAGCCGTGGCGTTTGGATTTATCTCCTACGTTTTAAATCTGAAGTTGGTCGTTATATAAAATTATTCTGCAATCTTGTTCGTACTCAGTTTGGGAAACAGGTACGAAAAATTCAAGCTGACAATGGTCCAGAATTTGCAACCAAAGTCCTGTGAGAATTCTATGAGAATACATGTAATCTACTTCAGACCTCGTGCACTGATACTCCTCAACAAAATGGTGTTGTCGAGCGAAAGCACCGTCATATTCTCGAAACAGCACGTGCACTTCGTTTTCAAGCTTCCCTACCAATAAGGCTCTAGGGTGAATGTGTGCTCACAGCATCATACTTAATCAATCGGCTTCCTACCACAGCTACAGGACGAACACCGTATGAGGTTGTGTTCGGCAGGCCAACCACCTATACTCATCTTCGTGTGTTCAGTTGTCTGGTTTATTATAAAGATACACATGCAGGGTTAGGAAAATTCTCCGAGCGTGGTCGTGCTTGTGTTTTCACGGGATACGCCGCTATTCAAAAAGGGTATCGTGCTTATGATCTTTCTTTCCAGCGCATGATCACCAGCAGGGACGTCATTTTCCATGAGACTATTTTTCCATTCCAGGCCAATACTTCCGATCAGTTTCACTGGGTTCCGGGAACAACCTTTGATCGGCCAGTTTTTGATGACGACGAGCAGCTGGTTGCTTCTCCGTAGCCCACTCCTTTGACAGGGTCTCCCGCGAGCCCATCTTCATCTGGGTCAGCACATAATACTGGGCCCAGCCTTGAGTCCCCGTCAGGCATTGGGCTTGATTCAGCCCGTCATACTCCTGGGCCAACAAATGTGACTTCAGCCAGCGAGTCTGAGGAGATCCGCACGCCTGGACCCTCTTCTTCGGCCCGTGCCGATTTGTTTGGCCAAGTCATTCCTCCGTCCAGTGCCAGTCCGCCTCCTGTTGTTTCCCCTCGTCGCGGAGACCGTCATCAAGTGCCACCGAAGCATCTCGATATATATTATACAGGGAAAGAAGCCAACTCAGTATGCTATCCCTTGTCTAATCATCTCAACTATGATAAGTTATCTCCTAATTATTGTGCTTTCCTTGCAGCAGTTGCTAACATCCTGAACCAAG